GTAGCAATTTTCAATAGGAAGCTCCCAGCTTCCTTTGCCAGAGCTTCTGGCCAATATCTTCAGAAAGTGCTTCAAAACATTTGCATATATCAGCTGTTCCAAAGGAAATATTAGTTTTAACAATTGAAATAAATGGTTGCAGTTTGAACAGTCTACCAGAAAACCAGTACTTCCAATGAAAGTTGGAAAAGACATATGAGTATTAGCTGGTACCCTATAATTTTTTTATTGCCCCTTTCTTTTCAGAGTCTACGCAAATGTGACTCAGTAATTTTCATCCTACCACATAGTTACCATTGGCAACATTTAATAAGGTGACTTTTTACATTCTGACCTCATAGGTCACTATATTCCTTTTAGTTGAGATGGAAGAAGTATAATTAAAAATGGGAAATTAGTGTTGCCAGTTTTCAAATATAATGTTGATTTTTCTTTTTTGTCTTATTAAGTTTGGCCAACTTCTAAGTAAGATGTTTTATTTTTGATTGCTAGCTAGTTCTTAAATAAATATTAGAAATAGCAGAGAAATAGTTTCTTATGTCTCTAAATTGCCATCTCTAGTTTCATTCAGTTTTTATCTTTCCTCTACAATTTATACTTCACTATATACATCACATACATATCATTTTTAGATATATATTATATATGCTTGTACTATGTATGTAATCGCTTTAAAGTACACTTAATTACACTATAATATTTAAAAATTAATCAGGCATCTATTTTGAGGCTCAACTAATCTAAATGTACATCTTCTCTTGTTAGGATCACACGCTTTGTGCCAATTTCAAAGGCTAATGAGAAAATCCTTCAGTTCACAATTTAACAGTTTGTAACCTCAGAAATTGAGGATTTGATGACTTAATCTCTCATTAGCCTCAAATGGTCTACAAGGGGACATTTTCTACTTTTTCTGGACAGGTTAGTTATATTTAAAGATGTAGAAAAATTATTAGAGAAAAATGAACTCATTCTGGATCAATATTTTATTGAACTTCCTCCATTTCCTTAAAATATACAGTATATGCATTACAGTGATGTGTTTGGAATCTGTGTTGTGTTAACTTATAAAAGGCCTCCTTGAATGGAGTCTAAGATATTTATGGTTTAGGCGGTATAGTGTGGCCTGCTAGTCAGCTGGCCAGCTCACTGAAAATAAGATTTCGGTGCAATCAACAGAAGTAAACCGCAGAAGCATAACATTGTGAGGAATGTATTAGAATGGCATTTTTCCCTTAGTGGATGTCGCAAATAGAAAATGATGATTAAGGGGAAAGCTTATGTTATTGAGGGTTGACATGTACTGTCACTGAGTTTTGCTACTTGTATTATTTTTAGTACCTTTAACAGATAGGGTGCTAGGTTAAGCAACTGCTGCTTGTTACTAGCTTGAGAACTTACGGAAAGAGAGAGAAATTATTAATATTTATTGCCAGGAGCCATGTATGAGGCTGGCCCACTATCTCGCTCAATCCTCATACATCACCATTGAGGTCAATGGTATTGATACTATTTACAGGAAAGCTATGGCCACTCTGAGAAGTTAACTAACTTCCATAAGGTCACACGGCAAGTAAGTAACAAAGTTGTTGTTTGAACCAAGCTATGTTTGGTCAGATGTACAATTATATGGCAATAAGGGGACCTGCATGTAGCAAATCAAAACTGAATAAAAATTTCTTCACGTTTTTGCATTAATCCTAGCAACCCAGTTTATTGTATCTTGGGGTGAAATCTCTGATGATGTAGAGTAGTAGCTCCTATACAAAAATCTGCATATGTGAGTACAAGATACTGATTGAATTTCTGTTTTTAGATTTTTTAGAATGTATTGTCACTGTATACATTTTAAAATACCAAGTACATTGAATCCCTACACAAATCTTCCTCCCCAGTGAAACTTGCAGGCCTCATGTTACTTTTTCTCCTTTTATTGTGGCAGGCTTTATTTATTGTGTGTTCAAATTTCTGGCCTCTGAATAAAAGCATCATTAGGTTATACAACTCAGAGTCAAAATTTGGTATTAGATCTAGTTTTTATTCTGTTATCTTCATTGTCTCCAGAATGGATTTACAGTAGAATTCATCTTTAAGCATTTAGTAAGAAGTATTCATTCATTCATTCTGCAAATGCTTATTGAGGTACAGTGCTGGGAACTCAAGGGATGGATGAATGTGGAGAGGTACCAATGTCGCATTTACCTGAACTCTCTATAAGGGTTGCTACTGGTGGTTTTCCTCAGAGCTTAGGCAATTCTCTGGAAGAGGATGTTTATTCTAACTTGCTTTTGACCTTTTTATTTGTCAAACCACAATTATTCAGCAGCATAGTAAGCATTAAACACGTTTTGACCTTCCTAAGAAGCTAAGTTTACCTAATATCAATTGCAGAGGCTACTCAGTTATTTTTTCCGTACATGTCAATGAAAAATTCACGTGGCTTTGCATAATTGTGTTTTGTAGTGTTTTCTGCTATATCAGAATAACCTGGAATGCCGTTAAAATGTAGATCCCTGGGCCCCAGACCTATTGCCACAAACTCTGTGGAAGAGGCTTGGTAGTCTGTGTACTTTGCCACAAAATGTCCTCAGTTGATGATTCTTAGGAACATAGCTTTTTGAAAGTGAGGCTGCAATCCAGTCAGATCAAGCTAAGCATGGAAAGGTGGCCTATGTAGGAAGTGTCGTAGAATGGCATTTTTCCTGAGTAGGTGTAGTACAGACAAAACGAAAACCAAAGGTCCGAGTTTCTATTAAAAGTTTTGAGATGCGGGGATACAGAATATATGGTGGTTTGCACGTGGTTTCTCTCCTTCATTATTTCAATCCAGGCTGTATTCCTAGGTAGGAGAGCCCTGGTGGTTTATGTTCAAGGGAGGCACTAGAATGAAGTGCCAGGAAGACGAGTGTTAGTGTTGACAAAGCAGGGTTCAGGGCCCAGGGCTGTCTCTGTGTTATTTATGGAACTCTAGAAACTGATCTGAGTCAATTGACAGTAACTGAATCTTCAGAGTGGATATAACCCTGCTTATCTGCACTTAAATAAATCCAATCTTAGTAAGAAATGTGATGTGGAGTTACTGAGAAGCAGAATTTCTCTTAGAGACAAGTTGTTCTTTGTACTGAAAAAGCAGGTTTTCTTTAAAAGACCCCAACTGGATATCCCTGAAATCAGACCGTGTGTCATCCATGAGTTATTTATGTTGGCCAGTCATTCCCTGTGGTTTATCTTGTGAATCGAAGTGTTGTTTTTATGAAAGTTGTTTTGCATCCAGATGCTTTTACGCTAATATACTCACGATCTCAACAGATGTCAAGCATGATGATTTCAGATGGAATAGGTCATAGATACGTAAATGTTACTTCACTTGTGAATTTATCAATAGCCATAACTAATAAATATTATAAAAATTACCTTCATGCCAATATTTTGTTTTTCTCTTATTGTGTATACAATTTAAAATGCTCTGGGAGTGGTGGTAATAGGAGCTTCTGACCTTCCCCTGCTCCTTGGAGAGTGCCATGCAGTACCGAGGGTGTGACATAGACATTATCTTCTTTAATCTTAAAAATAAACTTATGTTTTTGCAGGTTATATAGCAATTTTGAAATGAATGGAAACCCTGAGGCTTAAAGAAGTTCGTTTTTTATGCAATTCATGCAGCTGATGAGTGAAAGAGCTAGGCCTCTACCCCAGGTCCTGAGACTTGTAAGGTCTTTGCTATTGACCACTGTTGTCTACTGCCTCCTGACTTAAAATATTATTAGTAAAGCTTTATTACGTAAAGCTTGTTAAAATAAAAGGCAGTATCCTGTGATATAAACTTATGAACTTATTCCTAAAAAGCTTAATCAAAACGAGCCAGAAATAAATCATTCAAGTTAGAATTGTGACAGATTTTCTCACAGATAATAAACATCAGTTTTCTGAGTCAATTTACAGTACAAGGTCAAATTATGGTAAATAGATTTTTCTTAGAAAAATCAAAGAAAGCTCAAGAAGGTGGTTGATGGCTTCAATTAAATCTTTCTTTTACCCTCACAAACAGTTCTAATTAGATTTATTGGTGAAAGAAGTTGTCAGGGTGGTAATTCATGAGATAAGTCACTATCAATATGACTTGACAATACTATATTGAAATAATATGGGTCAATCCCTGACAATGTTGCATAATACAGACTTTAATAAATATATTTTGATGAGAAGAATCATCTCAAAAGAAAGGTATATTTACATTTCTTGTTTTATAGTAACTTATTTTTTTTCTCCATTTTATACTCTAAGTTTTTTGGAGGGTAAATATGTCTGTTTCTATTGTTTTATTGTTCTTGGGTGATGAAGACTAGATTTACCACTGGAAGGTTAAAGGCTACATTTTTCACCAATGTTTCACTACACTTACTAATCTCTATACACAGTGAGGAATGTGTGGAAATTTTCTTCTTTTCATCTGTACATTTCTTAATATATTGGCTTGTAACGCTTAGTAGTAATTTTAATGTTACTTCTTGTGAGATACATGTAAAGGTGTTTTACTGAAGATAACAGTGTGCCTTGAGTCCTCTAATTTCATTTCCTTATGACTCAGTACAAGTAAAAATAGATGGTAAAACTTCATCATTCTTTTGGGTTCATTAAAGTTAACCAGAAGATGTTACGGAAGGAGCCTAATATTTTATTTGATAATTCTGTGTTTTAATATTCCCCTGGCAGTTTGTAGATTTTTAAACTTGGATCTAGAAATATTAGTGCTAATATTAAAATACAGGAGCTTCTTTGAGCTTGAAACTTTTTTCACATGTCTTAATATCTCATTTTGATAATACACTTGAGTGAATTCATTATTTACTCGAAATGTATAATAAAATGATTTGGATGTTTTTCGTTGTGTGAAAGACCCACGGCAGATTCAAGTGACGGGTTTGCATCATTATGATTTTCTTAAGATTTGTGGATTTTATTATTTTTTTAAGGTGATATTTTCTGCTTTTGTTTCTTAGGGTCGTTGCTCCAGGGAGAACTGCAAATATCTTCACCCACCCCCCCACTTAAAAACGCAATTGGAGATAAATGGGCGCAATAACTTGATTCAGCAGAAGAACATGGCCATGTTGGCCCAGCAAATGCAACTAGCCAACGCCATGATGCCCGGTGCCCCATTGCAACCCGTGGTAAGCGTGTTCTCAATTCTCGTTCCTGAAATTTGTCATTCTGAGTGCTCACTTTCAGTGTTAAAGTGGTGATTGCACTAGATCAAGTGAACATAGGTAACAGCATCAGTTACCTAGCATTTTCTAGCCAAACTAGCAGTCAAAGCCTGGAAACAATTTTCGCACCGTAAAGTTACTCATCTTCTGGCTAAATCATGTGGAAATTTACATTACAGCATGTTTGTCCCTCAGAACTCCCTTCGGATTAAATACTGTGACTTGCAGATGTTAAATGGTCTTTTTTAAAATGGTCATTAAACTCATCAGTATCGTCAAGGAGCATTTTCAGGCTACCTTTAGCAGTAATAGTCATTTTAAAAATTGGTATATATCATCTTTAATTTTGAGAAAATGTTTCCCTTCCCTCCCTCCTTAAAGAGAATCCATACAGTTCTCTTTCTTGCAAAGGAGCCTTTGTTATTCTTTTAAACTTAAATTGAAACTAGTTTGTAGTTACAAATGCTAGGAAAATTCTGACAGTGGTGAATGCATATCATGGACCTTGAAGTCTCATCAAAGGAGAACTAATCAGGAGAGGCAGAAACTCCATGAGCTTTTAAGAAAAGAGCAAAATTTTATAAACTGTAGGTGGTCATATGGATTTAATGTTTACTGAGCAGTGTATGTACGTAACCTTTGATTCTGAGCATATTTACTTATTTATTTATTTGTTTATTTGTTTGGATTTGGGAGGAGGGGGTATGTGACAAATGACTTGAATAACCTTTACTCACATTTATCCACAAAAATGTGAGAGATTAATATCATAACTAATTTTAGGTTACAAAAGATGTTCTGATGTTAATTGTGATATAGTAATTCTGTATTTAAATGCATGTTGAAATTTGCAATGATCGGAATATTCCTGTCACTGACTTATATGCAATATTATGGGGTCATGGAAACGTGAAGACCCACATTTTTCTGATAGCTAACTGTAGCATGTATGCTAACTAATTTTTTTCCTGATACATTTTAACCCCTGAACTCAATGTAATTATTATTCTCTCTTAGAACTTAATGAACCAATCATTCCAAAAAAGAGGGGGGGATTGCATTTCGAGGTGGGAGGGATCTCCAAATCCAATCGGCAGTGATACCAATTATCAATACTATACAGTTGAGGTGAGAGAATATTATAATTCTGTCTGTTTTAACGTGATATATTTTTTTCCATTATTGGGGACTCAGTTAAAAATATGATATCTTAAATTGATTTCTGTGACACCTGTTAATTTCACATGTCTGTGTTGGGATAGCATGAAGATTTCCATTTGGTTTAAACAAAAGCTTAATCATTGTCTCTAGCGTAAAATATAGGACAAGAGTTCTCTTTTACACTCGACTCTCACATATGGTTTCAAAGATCTGATAAATCCTTGGGGTGGCTACTACGATAGTCGATATAATATCTCTCCTTGATGTGAGACACTTTGTTCCACTTAAACATTTAAAGCGTGCTGACCGGCAGGCTCTACCCTCTCGGTGACTGGGAGCACCTCTGAGATCAGCAAGTGTGGTTCCCAGATGGCAGAGAACAGGTCATGACAGTGAGTTCCTCACTGTGAAGTCTTGGCCCATCTCCTGAGTTAGTCCTTGAGTTTTACTCTCAAGGCCATTTCAGGGTCATCGTATGTGTAATCCTGGGACAAACTCTAAAACACCATTCATGCTCATGTGTTTGAAATGCTAGTAACAAATATGTGTTGTTTAAAAAAAAACCCAGCAAGTCACAGATTTCTGAAACCATCAGAAAAATTACCTCATTTTCTGGTGTTTTTGTTGGAAAATTCTCTGCTTAGACGGAGCATTTATTTTTATTAGTTGTGAGCCCATTCAGGGTTTATGTTAATGTTCCCTGATATGACTAGATTTGAATGTGGAATTACCCTTCTGCTAAAGGCATCCTGAGATCATAGTCTAAAAGTAGACTCCATTCAGAGTGACATTTTTGTACTGAGTATGGAAGTCATTTTAATTATTTCAATTTTAAAGCATTTAGGGTTTTAATGACTGTAGAGAAGGCTTTAATCCAGGAAATTTGCCTTCAAAACCCCACCTGAGACTTTTCGATCCTTTTTGTAGTCAGCCCTGTTTTGATGAGGATAATGATATGGAAATTTATATTCATATCAGAATATAAATTCAGAAATAAACGAGATGGTCATAACCAGCTGCTTACTGGAACTTTAGTGCTGGGCCTACAGAGAGGGATTATAACAGCTGGAAGCAGCCAGGTGACTAATATGGAAAAGGGTTGCCACTCAGAAGAGGATGACCAAGATTTAAAAAATTGCTTGATAAGTGAAAGAAAGAATGAAGGAAAGAGTTTCCTGAACATGAGAAGAACAGGCAGAGGTTCATGGTAGTTTACCTGTGCCAGAGTCCAAAGGAATTATAACTAGAACCAGAGCCCAAGCCCAATTATAGAGACTGCAGCATAGAATGGGGAGTACAGGTGGATACCTATTAGTAGACTGTTAGCAGAGGCAGCCAGGGACTTGATGAGGGTACTGTTGGGACCAGGAAATAGCTATCATGCCGCCCAGTTTGGGTTCTCATTTTCTCATAAATTTTGAGAGACTAGGTCTATAAATTTAAGATCTCCAGAACATAACACTGGGCTGGTCTGGGAAATGCAGGGATTTATAGGCGAGTTTCTTGTTTTCATGGACTTGATTATGTTGTAATGAAATGTACCAAGCCAGGAATCTGAAAAAGAACATAACATTTGGTGGGTAATTACAGTACTCTGAGGGCATTGAAGGCACTCAGCACATTTTATATCATAAATCCTCACAACCGTACTATAAAAGTAGGGAATATTATCCAGCTTTAGAGATGAAGACTCAGAGGTTCAGAGATTAACTAGTTTGCCCAAGTTACATAGCTAGTGAGTTAGCAGGGCCAGGATTTTCACCCAGGCCATTCAGGTTCTGGCGTCCATGCTGTAGAAACACTAAATGGAGACGTGCCACCAACCAACTCTGGGTCTTTGGTGGATTCATTTAAAAACCCTGACCTTTTTCAGCATATAGTGAAAACTGTAAGATATATTATTTGAAAGGTCCTACCAATCTTATAATTATTCCAGTTTCATAAGATAAGAAAATAAGTAGTTGAAAATAAATAATTGAATTTATATGTCTACTTCCTAAAATTTAGCGTAGTAAATTATCCAGTAATTGGTGTTAGTTCTATTATCATTTCTAAACCACTAATAAAAATGCAAAAGAGCATTTTTTCCTTTACTGTATGTTCTTTGAAGATAAATAGAGGACCTATAGTATTTAATTATCCAAATTAAAAAAATAAAATTTCTGGATTTTTTTTCTAGGTAGTACTTAAAAAAATACTATTATTTTGCCATACACTATCTGATGCAAAGGTAATCTACCAAGAAATTACTAAATAACCAACGATACACTGCACCTAGGGGCTCACAACTTAGAGGCATCGGGTGTATTTCTTTGGCCCATCCCAGAAAGATGTTTTTCAGAAATCCTGTTGATTCCAGGTTCTCAGCGTTGCCCTTGAAGAGGTCTGCGTAAGCAGTGTTTTGAAGAGTGTATCTGAGCTCTGGAGGTCCCCTAGCAGCGTCCTCCCATGCCTTTCGCTGTGTGCCCAAAGGTTGGCCTTGGCCATCCATAATTTCCCATGGCAGCTGCCCTGAAGGTACACACACTAGCCACTTCGAGGTACAAAACTCGTGTCGAACTCCCTATGCATTTCATGAACTTGAAGTAGGCTAGGGATAGAGAAATTCAAAGTTACTGCATTTGGCTAAAGTCTTAGAAGCTCCTTTGCTGCTCCTGTCGCCTTACCTTTGCTGTCACTTCATATCCAAGCAATTTTTTGGCAGTTGATTCCTGAAAGCTTTGAAGTCATCATTTGTCAACACTTCCAGGAACACCTAGAATTCTTAAATTGTTTTTTAGTGCTTTACATTCCAGTTTATCCAACTAGTGGTTGAGATAAGGCTGTTTTATCCCCAAGTGTTTCTGGTAAAAATGTTTCCAGGTCAGTCACCCTGAATCTCATTTCATCCATCCTGCCCATCTTACTGCCTATTTCTGTCAAGGAGCCTCTGCTTCCTCAAGCAGCATGAGAATGGGCCCTGAATCTCAGGCACCAGGCCATATTTGTTGATACCTTTCTTCTTGGAGGGCTAGAAGTGAGTCTTCTTTATTTAAATGTTTATTACTTCATTAAAAGTCGCTTGAAGTATAATGTGAAATTAAGAGTAAAGTAAGTGGTCATTTGATTTGCCCAGTCAGCAAGTCAGTCTAGAAGCAGAGTTTAAAACAGTATTTCTCATTTTATTCCAGTCACGGGCTACCTTCTTAGAAGAAAAGACACTGTAATGTAAATTTGTTGATAATTCCCGTTAGCTTTTGGCTCTATGTTTATATTCAAAATAATTGTTTACAGAGACTGTTTATAGCTCTTGTACAGGGCTGTGCTTACCCAGAAACATGGTTTTATATACCTTGATTTTGTGCTGTAAATTTTTTTAAAAAGCTTAATTTTTCCCTGTTTACACGTTTGACCTTCACAAACACACACATATACCACCCCCCCCCCACACACACACACACACACACACACACACACACACACACAGAGGTAAAATCTAGAAAAGTCTGACTTAAAATTTGTGTTCTGTAAATCCCAGCACATACTGAGTATATATTATTTGTTTTATATACTCCCTCTATTTTATTAAAAATGGCAAACATTATATGCAAAACAAACACTGTTTCACACAGTGTTTTAAAATAAATTAGAATCCCTATGATATTTGCAAGATTACAGCATGGTAACAGTATGTTAATGAAACTTAGTTCAATATGAAAAAAGTGACAAAAATAAAATAAGTTAAATTTTAAATAAGCATACTAAAGAAATTAATGATTAAAATTTGAGATTCAGAGGAAATAACACTCAATCTTTTTTAATGTTCAAATATGTATACTAGAAAATATTTAACATATTTGCTAGTTAGTTTCTGCGGCAGAGAAAAACAGCAAATCCATAAATATATTTGTTAAGCAAATGTTTGTAGAGGATCTGTATAGATGCCAAGTGCAGGATGTGCAAACTGGACAAAGCACAGCGCCTGAGACTGCTTTGGGCGCTCTGAGAGCCCAAGCAGAAGAGATGGTTAAGTAAACACACCTGGTGATCAATGCTGAACTCCAGTGACGAAGAATTACGTAGGAACAGAGGGTAGGAAAAGCCCCTTCATAGTTGGACGTGTGCATGGATCAGGGCAAACTTCGAGAACGAGTCCTGATTCTTGAAGCCTAATTAGGAATTAAACAGTTGGTCTGGACAGGAGCAACCTTCACCGTGGAGGGAAAACCATGTTCAAAAGCAGGGAGCCACGGGAGGCACACATATACTTAGAGACCTCACATAGAACCTGTTTCTGTATTTAAATAGTAGAAGACCACATAGTATATGGAATCGGATTTCCCCAGGAGCTTTACAAAATACTGCTGCGTAGAGATTCTGATGAGTAGAGAGTGCCAGGGAGTTCTGGGCTTCAAGTCGTCCAGGTGATTCTGTTGGATAGCCAGCATTGAGAACCACTGGTTTTAGAACCACCTGGAACTAAACACACTAATGTCTAAATCCTGGGTCGTCCATGCACTCATTTGTGACCATGGGCACATAATCTCTATGAGCCCTTTCCCTTATCTGCAAAATGAAACTAATAATATCCACCTGACAAGGCTGTAATTTATTCACACTTTCATTCATTCATTCACTCACTCAAACACTTATTCAGTGTATATTTATTGAGGGCCTACTGTGTGCCAGGCATCATTCTCGGTTCTGGGAATTTAGTAGTGAACTAAACATGTATCCCCTCCTCCTTGTAACAAAAGCAGTGGAGTTTTTGCTTTCGTTTGCTCCAAGGAGTTTATACTCTACATTATGAGGATTAAATATAATAACATAGGTAAAGCACTTAGCACAATGCCTGGCACACAATAAATAGAATTATTGTAATAATCATGTTGGCACACATTTAACGAGGGTCATAATGTGAAATTGAATAACATTTTCATTCATAATAAAGCCTGATTACCTTAATGGAATCAAATGTCTCATTTAAAACAAACAAGTGGTTAGCCCATAAATGCACCAGCATTAGTGAGATTGCAATTTGTTTTTCTCTGCTTAGGATGTTCACTGGCAAAAAGGCAATCATAAACCAACCTTCCTTATGCCTTCTGGGAACAAAGATATCTGTAAATCATTATTACAAGGATATAGTCAGTATCGAATACACCAATTACATAGTTATATGTTATCCTGTGGTTACTTCGGAGAAAATAGGATGCTGCTTGATAATACCATTGTATTAATATCCGTCTTTGTGATTCTGCTGAATCCTCTTTAGGATGGCTTTTGGAATAGAGAATTGGCAGTGCCACAGTTCAAGTGCTTCACTAATCTGATTAGAGCACTCTGATGGGGCCGGCAATGACCTACCTCCAGCAAGGTGCTCTTTGAAAAAGGAATATAACAAATTTACAGAAATTCAAAAGAAATGAAGGAATGCTGCACTTCAATGGGTTTTTTTGGCAGCTATTGGAATCCAGTTTCAAAGTACAGAGCTATTATTATCGATTGTCTGCCTGTTTAGCAAATAACTCTTTATCTGGAGAGGGAGCAGTTTGAGATAATGTTTGTTGAATAGTTGACGTTTTTAGAATTTTAGAAGCTGCTACAGATTCTACTTGGGGACAGTGCCCTAAAGTCCTGCAGATTTGAATTTGTTCTGCTGAATTGTCAGAAAATTAATTCATGTGACGACTCTGTAGAAACAATCTAGTGGAAAAATTGTTTCCAGTTAATGAGTATTTTTATCTCATAAAAGTATTCTTTTTCTGTAATATGCAACTGCTACACTATATGCATTGCAGATTATAAATTTATTTTATTCAGTGATATTTAGCAAAGCTGAATTTTACTGGCCACTGATCTTATTTTCTTAAACTAAGAATGCTTTTCTTCCCTCCATCAGTTTGTCAGTTTGACCTCTGCTTCTAAATAATTATAGTAGATTGTGCAAAGTGACATAAACATCTCAATAACTTTCTGAAGTATACATTTAAAATGCCCTCTCTGGAAATACCTATTAATTCATAGCAAGAATTAACATTGACCAGCTCTGTTCTCCATATTCTAAACTAGTCTTTTAGTCTTCTGTGCTAAATTTCTTATAATTCTTAAATATCTTATAATTCTTAATAATTCTTAAATAGCCAGTGTTTTTCTGGCTGAAATTTCACATATTGTATCCGACAGTATGTAACAGTATAAGTTTAACCTGAATATTTCTGAATAGAGATCCAAGTTCAACATGTATTTACTATACAGGTCAACTCTTGTGTTGCTGCTGCCTTGGCAGCCAGTAGTCAGTGAACCAGTATCAGATCAGCTGCTGTTTGAATAAGTAACTGTTGATAGATGGAGATTGCTCTGGGCCCCAGTTTCTGACAGGTTATTGATTGTTAATATCTGGAACCCCCAATAGTTTCCTGTTGTCCGTGGGTAGCTGCCTTGGGCAGGGATGGAACTGGGGACCGGAGGTATTACTTTAGGCAACTTCATCAAGAGCCATCAACCAGGCAGGGCAACTAACCATGGCATTCAAACCAACACATTAGGAACAATAATTATTTTGATTTGAAAATATCGATGGAATGAATCCATGGTATATTGTTTATTCACCCAAGTGAATCAAATTATGTATTAAATACTCTATATTACATGGTCTTCTTAGTAAGACTGGATATGCTAGCTGCAAATATTTTGTCCTAAAACAATTTGTGAAGTCACGAGAAGGCTGTATCCTTTAGGATAGGAATTTTCAACCCCAGCACTATTGACATTTGGGACTGGATAAGTCTTTGTTACGAGGGACTGTTGTGTGTTATAGGACACTTAGCAGTCTCTACCCATTAGATGCAGCTGGCACCCCCCAGCTGTGACAACCAAGATTGTCCCCTGATATTGCAAAATGTCCCCTGCGAGACAAAATCACCCATAGTTGAGAACCACTGCCCTAAGAAAAAAGGTATACTTGAAAGCTGTTTTACTCTTCTAAATACAGGATGAGTCAGGGCCAAATTAGATAAAGGATATATTTTATTTTTTTAAAGATATTTTTTCTGAGCTATAAGAATTACTTTTGTAACATATACATCTTGATTGCATAAAACCTTACACCAAAACTCTCTTGAATACTAAATAAACTCTGGGGTCATCTAACTTCTTATTCCTGTCAGAAGGAAGAATTATCTACATTCTCATGTCCCTTTCTTTCTAAAAGAAATTTCTGTGATTCTATTCCTTACTACAAGGTAAAGATAACAAATTGTTTAAAATTACCTTAATGAACAGGATCCATTTTGTCCATTTGTTTTTGTGTTTTGGAAACAAACATTATTACACACAGCATTAAACATCAAGAATGAAAACTCCATTGAACTAGGAAGTTGAAAATTTACCAATGACGTGGAAAATTGTGCTAGGTTATCTTTTGAAAACTGGAAAAGCACATTGTTAAAATAGATTTCAGGTAAATTATTTAATTTTACTCAAAACACATATTTCCTGGTATGCAAATTTTCATATCAACAAATAGAAACTATTTTCATATATTCATGAAAGCATTTCTGGCAAAAAAAAAATCTATCTTGTAGCATTTTATTCAATGCTACTATATGTATTTCCTTGAACAATCATAATGCATTTCTTTAGAAGTGTTCTTTTTCAGACCTCACATTTCAGAATAGTTTCTCCCTAGTAAGCTGAATTTGTTAAGTATCTCACAAAGGTGTAATAGGCTGGTGGGAGATTTATAATTTCCCCAGGAAAACCTGCAACACATATATATGTCAAATACTTTATCTTATATGCTCAAAAGAAATGGTGTCATCATCACCTTTCACGTATCCCATAAGATTTATTCACAGTTTACATTGACTGTGAAATTCTGCTGTCCACTGTGAGTTCTGCTTTATTTATTCTAGATAATAGGACACTTGCAACCTATTAACAGTTGTAAACAGATCTTTTAAGTACATCTGACATAGCAATTATGAAATGTATTTCTTAGACAAGTTTCCAGGATTAAATCAGGACAAAGGTGGAGATTAGGTAACCACAAGAAGTTTCTGTATTGAATGGTTGAGCTTTTTTTCAAAAAGAAATTGCAAGTATTATAGACCCCAAGCTTCAAAATCCCAGTGGAAAATTTAATGGATAATTACCCATTGTATTTTAGAAAAACATTGATTTGATGAATGCTTATTTTAAGAAACGTTCTTATCCTAAATGAGAGTAAATAAACATACAATTAAATGGAGAGAGGGAGGGAGGGAAAGA